GGGTTTTTTGTTTGTTTTTGTTTTTGTTTTTTTGGTACCGGGGATCGAACTCGGGTCCTTGCGCTTGTGCAGCAGGCAGCAAAACCACTGAGCTAAATCCCCAGCCCCATTATTTTTGTTTTTGAGACAGGGTCTCACTATGTAGTTCAGGCTGGCCTTGAACTCTGATCCTCCTGCCTTAGCCTCCTGAGTGCAGGGATAGCCATGTGCCACCATGCCCGGCTCTATTTTTATATTTTTTTAAAGTTTGAGACAAGGCCTTGGTAAATTGCTAAAATGCCCAGGGTTGGGTTCCAACTTGTGATTCTCCTACCTCAGCTTCCTAGAAGCGGGTGCCACCAAGCCTGGCATGTTTTTGTTTTTTGAGATAGGGTCTCACTGTGTAGTCCAGTCTGGCCTTGAACTTGTGAACTCCAGTGCTGAATTACAGGTGTGTGCCATGGCAAGGGAGGCCTGGCTTGTTTGTTTGTTTTGGTTCGGGGGATCAAACTTGGGACCTTGAGCTCACAAAGCAGGTGGCAGAACTACTGAGCTAAATCCCTGGCCTGCCTGGCTTGTTTTTGATTTGGTTTTTTTTTTTTGAGGTATTAGGGACTGAACCCAGGGTCTTTGCCCTGAGCTACATCCGCAGCTCTTTGTTGTTGTTTTGTTTTTTTGAGGCAGGGTCTGGCTATGTAGTCCAGGCTGGCCTTGAACTCACTATGGAGCCCAGGTGGCCTGGAACTTGCGGTGATCCTCCTGCCTCAGCCTCCCACGTGTTGAGATGACAGACCTGTGCCACGTGCCACCACGCCAGTCCCTCAGTTCTTTTTTTTATTTTGAGAGAGGGTCTCACCAACTCACAAAATTGCCCAGGCTGTGCTTGAATTTGAGGTCTTCCTGCCTCAGCCTCCAGGGATGCTGGGACTACAGGTGTGCACCACTGCACCTGGCTGGTTTACATCTTCTGTGAGTGACTAACACACATTCGTTTAAAACAAAGCTTCCTTGTGTTTGCAAAAGGGGCACCACACCAGGCCTGAGGTGATGATTTCCTTTTTTCCTCTCTCTTTTTTTCTTCTTTTTCCTGTCCTGGGGACCAAACCCTGGACATGCTGCCAGCCACATCCCCATCCCTTATTTATCTTGAGACAGGGAGGGTCTCGCTAAGAGGCCCAGGCTGAGCCTGGCACAACCCTCCAGTCCTGGCCTCTTGTGTAGCTGAGAGTACAGGCGAGCACCGCCCCACCCAGCTCTGCCTGTTACTGCTTAAGACTAACTTCTGAGGGAGGCGCCACCTCTACACCGTGCTCCCCGCCCCCTACTTTGTTCGTTTGACACAAGATCTCCAAGTGTAGCCCAGGCTGGTCTCAAACTCACAGCAATCCTCCTGCCTCAGCCTCTCCAGTGTGGGGATGACAGGCATGCAACACCACTCCTGGCTCAGAAATTACCCCTTATCTCCATGGAAACAGCTTCATCCTTGTTATTTTCCCTGTTTATTTTTCTCTGGTCGATGCCAAGTACTCCTTTGAGAAAGAATGTCTTGTCAGGTGTGGTGGTGGGAGCCTGAGGCAGGAGGATCCAGAGTTCAGGGCCAGTCTAGACTACATAGAAGACCCTGCCTCAAAAAACTCAAAAAGAGGGCCGGGGATTTAGCTCAGTGGTTCTGGCGCCTGCCACACAAGCACAAGGTCCTGAGTTTGACCCCCGGTACCAAAAACAAAAACAAAAAAAACTCAAAAAGAAAAACAATATCTTTTTTTGGTACCGGGGATTGAACTCAGGACATTGTGCTTTCAAGGTGGGCGGCATAACCCCTGAGCTAAATCCCGGCCCCAAAAACAATATCTTTACATGGAAATAGGCACAGCCAGAAAAGTCTGGATACCTCAAGAATTCATTTACTCAGCTCTAGTATTCCAGAGATGCTAGTTGTTGTTTTTGTTTTTGTTTTTGGTACCAGGAATCAAACTCAGGACCTTGCGCTTGTGAAGCAGGTGCAGCGCCACTGAGCTAAATAAATGCCCAGCCCCATGAATAGTTCATGTTCCTCTAAAGGTAGATTTGCTCATTGAAAGGGGCTTCCTTCCAGATGTGGTGGTGCACACCTGTGATCCCAGCACTCCAGAGACTGAGGCCGGCCTGGGCCACATAGTGAGTTCAAGGACAGCCTGAACTACATAGTGAGACCCTAACTCCAAAAATTGAGAATAAAAAAGGAGCTTCCTGGAACCGGGTGTGGTGCTGACTCTTGTAATCTCAGCGCCCAGGAGGCTGAGGCAGGAGGATCCAGCCAGTTTGAGGCCAGGCTGGGCTACATAGCAAGAACCTCTCTCCAAAAAGGGTGGGGCCTTGCTGGAACTGAGCTATCTTCACCCCAAAAATGAACACCTGGTAAAATTTTGGTTAGGAGTGCAAGGTTGGTTGACTTTTCAGTAGAGGACTTCATCCGTGGTGTCCCTAAGTCCAGGCCCTAGGCACCATGATTCTGTGTATTTTTGGGCTCCTTCACCTTCCCACATCGCTGCTGCACGGTCACAGCCAGGGATACCTCCAGAGAGATGCCAGGACAAAGAAGAAAGTAATAAAGATCAGAGCAGGAACCAATGCACTTGAAAAATGAACAGTGTTTAAAAATCAATAAAGCCTGCTGGGTGTGGTGGCACAAACCTGTACTCTCACATCTGGGAGGCTGAGGCAGGAGGATCGCTGGGAGTTCCAGGCCAGCTTGGGCTACATAATGAATTCAAGAGCGACCTGAACTAAATGGTAAGACCCTATCTCGAAGGAAAAAAAAAGACTAATGCCAGAGGTCAGAGTTCAGACTGCTGCCTGGAGCTCCCGGGATTGCTGTCCCTGCTTGTACCAGCCCCATCCATCTGCTGCCCTCCCACCACCCAGCTCAGGGATCGAGCCCAGGGCCTTCACGCTGCCAGACCTCTCCTTGTACAGTGCTTTATTTTGAGACAGGGTCTCCCTCTGTTGCTAAATTGCCCAGGCTGAATTTTCAGTCCTGGTGCTGCAGCCTTCCAGAGAGCTGGGATCACATTGTGCTGTTCAATAAGCTTTGGGTTGAAGATCTTTCTTCCTTTCCAGGGAGCAGCAGTTCTTCCCCATGACAAGGGTGACGCCGAAGTGTTACCCCCCCCTTCAGTGCTGGGCATTGAACCCGGGCTGGCTGTGACGCCGAGTGACACTCCAGCCCCGTCCCTGTTACTGAATTGCGCAGCTGCCTCAGACCTGCCACCCACCTGCCTCGGCTGGAACTGTGGCTGGACAGAAGAAACCCAGCCAGCAGAAAGGAGACCTGGAGGCTCAGGTTTTTGTCGGTCACTGTACAACCCTAGGTCCGATGCCTGCTGAGCACTGTGTGTGGAGGGACCCTCCGGGAGTCTGTGTCACCAGGTCCCCGAGCCCTGCATGTCTGGAGCCTGCCCTGGCCCCATCCAGACTGAGGGCAGCAAGGCAGGAGGAAATGGAGTGAGCTTTGGGGTTCCCAGGATCCGGGGCAGACCCCAGCAAAGCCAGAAAGTTTCCACACATTAAACCCGGAGGTGAGATCCCATCCCCTTCAACAGGGCGGCTTCCCCTGGTGGGCCCGAGGCAGCCACTCTGGGTAAGGACAGTTGTCCCACCCCTGAGCTCCTCCAGAGCTACGGAAGCCAGGGGACCGATGCTGGCCACCTCAGCCAGTCCCCAAGCTGGCCTTGTCTGTCCTTTTTTTTTTTTTTTTTTTGAGATAGGATCTTGCTATGTAGTTCAGGCTGGCCTTGAACACACAGTGATCCTCCTGCCTCAGCCTTCTGAGTGCTGGAATTATGAGGCTGTGCCACCACCTCATGGCTCATAAATCCACTGTGATGCAGCACTTGGCCAGGGAGCAGCAGTCCCTTCTGGTGAGAGGTAACCTACAGTGTTGCTCCCCTCAGCCAAACTCAGCATTGCCTGGGAGGGGAATTCTCCTCCACCAAACTGTTCTGTTCTGTTCTTGAAGTCCTGCAAAGTAAACAGACAAAAGACAGATTAGCACGAGAGAGACAAGGATGTGGGCAGGAATTCACACACAAACACACACACACACACACACACAGACATGATTGGGGGGCTAGAATCTGGGATTTATGAGCTGGATGTGGTGCTGCACACTATGATCCCAGCACTCAGGAGGCTGAAGCAAGAGGATCACTGGGAATTCAAGACCAGCCTGGGCCAAATAATGAGATTGAGGAGGTTTTAAACAGTGCAGTGGGTCACACTGGTCTCCCCTGGACTCCCTCAGCACCAGGGTACAGCCACCGAAAGGCCAGGCTGGCAGAACTGAGCTGCCAGTGGCCAGGGCAATGTTCCTTCTCTGGGATTCATTTTGTCCTCAAGAACAGCTCATGGCGTTGCCATGGGGATGGCATTAGACACGGCAGGGAACACCCGAAACAGTGCATAGAACCTGGTCAGTTAGGGGCAGCAGCTCCCCAAGGTGCCAGGGGCCCTGCTTGCAAAGTATGTTAGGAAGGGGAGTTTTCAAGTTTTTGTTTTGTTTTTGAGACAGGGTCTCCCTGAGTAGTTCAGGCTGACCTTGAACTCACTATGTAGCCCAGGCTGGCCTCGAACTCACAGCAATCCTCCTGCCTCAGCCTCCCAAGTGCTGGGATCACAGCTGAGCACCACCATGCCGGGCAAGTCCTGCTCTCTAAACTCAGCCACTAGCAGGGTAAACATCTGGGGCCCTGTCGCTAGAGCAGGGCCCCTTGACCCTGGACAGCGCAGCTCAGACAAGCCCGGCCAGATGGGAACGCAGATTCAGCCACCATCCCCAGGCTGGGTGGGAGGAGCCCGGGGGGTGGGGTGGGGACAGGGACAGGGGTTTCCTCTGAGCTCAGGAGAGGACAGGCCCAGCCCTGCACGGCAGCGGTGCAGGCTGCCACAGACTCCAGAGTGGTGGGTGCCGCCAAGGCCCATGCCGGATACCCGGGTTGCCTGGCAACGCTGACGTACACCAACGTCAGGGTGACTCACGCTGCGCACAGGAGGGGTGGCCAGGCGACCCCTGCAGCGCCCTGGGTGCACTGTGTCACTAGGCATCTGAAGAGCCGCTCAGCTGTGTCCAGCCGGGCGTCGCCCCCTCCTCGGGGACTCCACCTCCTGCAGGCACAGTGGGCCACGCCTGCGTTTCCTCCTGGAAAAGCCTCCGCTCCTACTTCGCCCTCCATTTCTGTGACTTGGGAGCGTCGGCCAGGCGTCCTTTGGAAATGTCTGGGGTGGGTGAAAAAGAACCCTCTGACCTTTGTGTTCAGATTCAGCGAAGCAAACACCCCACAACCACGATGCCTGTGGGACACCAGGGACTGAAGCCAGGGCCTTCCTGGCATTGAGCTACATCCCATCCCTTTTCAGTTTTTATTTTGGGACAAGGTCTTGCTAACTGGCTAAAGGGCCTAGGCTTAACTGGGTGTGGTGACACACACGCATGTGCTCCCGGCACCTGGGAGGCTGAGGCAGGAAGATGGCCCAGAGCAGGAGGCCACCCTGGGCTATGTAGTGAGTTCAAGTCCAGGCTGATCCTGTCTCAAAAAATTAAAACCTAAAATTGCCCAGGCTGGCCTGGAGCTCCTGATCCTCTTCCTGCCTCAGCCTCTGGAGTAGCTGGGATTGGTGCCCAGCAAGCTATGTATTTTGTGCTAGGCCTGGTGGAGAGTGACACTTGAGGAAAACTGCCACTGCCTAACAAAGTTGGACCTAGCTGGGTGTGGGTGCACACTGGTAGTCCCAGCCCTCTGGAAGGCTGAAGCAGGAGGATCCTAAGATTCAACCCGAGCCTGGACAGTTTAGCAACTAAACCAGACCTCGTCTCAGAATTTAAAGAGGGCTAACGGGAGCCAGCCGGGGATTTAGCTCAGTGGCACCACACCTGTCTCACAAGCCCAAGGTCCTGAGTTGATCCCGCTACCAAAACAAACAAACAATTATAAAAAGAGGGCTGAGGATGTAAGAGTGTAGCTCAGTGTGAAGGCCCTGGGTTCCATCCCCAGTGCTGTGGGGGAAGGGGGTGGCCCAGTGGTAATAACCTAGCCTGGCAAGCTTGTTTGTTCAGATTCCCCAGCTCCTCGGTCTCCTTTCCCCTGCTTCAGGGAATGGCCTCTGACCCGAGGCCTTGCGGCCTGCTTTGGGGGCAGGGAGAGGGGGTTGAGAAAGACTGCCCTGCCCCTGCAGCACTCCTGAGAGCCATGGTGCCTAGTTTGGAGTGGGGTGTGCTGGATGCCACTGTCCACTCTACCCTCTCCGGAAGTGACAGATGCCGGCCAGCGTGATCCAGCCCAGGCCTCGTGTGCGCTCAGGCAGAGCCGCTGGCCCTGCTGCTGGGATGAGGTGATCCTCACCCATGGGACCACGACAGGGACGTCTGCAGAGGCTCTCGACCCCAGGCTGCAAGAATCCCACCCCCACCGCTGCCTCCCTCCCTCTCCTCCTTCCTTCCTGCCTCCAACCCAGGAACCCCAGAGCGCCTCCTATGCAGTGACACCCCGTCCCTCAAAGTCCCCTTCCATCCTTACCTTTCTTCTTTTTTCTTTTTTGGTTTTGTTTTGTGTATTGAGACAGGGTCTCACTGTGTAGCCCAGGCTGGCCAGCAACTCACAGTGATCCTCCTGCCTCAGCCTCCTGAATGCTGGGTTACACGTGAGATCCTGTTTTGTTTTTTGTAAAGCTCATTTTAGTATTATTGCTAAAACAAAAAAAATGCGCTTATAATTTTTCTTTTTGAGACAAGTTCTCACTACGTATGTAGTCCAGACTGGTCTCAAACTCCCAGAGATTCTCCTGCCTCAGCATCACAAATGCTGGGACCACAGGTGTGGGGCACCACACTTGGCTTGTTTCCTCTTCCTTGACTGTGTATCCAAATCCCCAGTCTTGTTTTAGGTTGTATTTATTGGGCTTCTGCTGTGCCGTAACACTATTTTGTATTTTAGTATTTTAATAAGAAAAAAGTACAGTTGAAGCTGGGTGTGCTACCGCACACCTATGGTCCCAGCCCTTGGGAGGCTACATAGTGCAGGCTGGCCTTGAACTCACTATGTAGTCCCAACTGGCCTCCACAGCGCATTGGTCCTCCTGCCTCAGCCTCCTGAGTGCTGGGATAACAGATGTGTTCCATCACGCCTGGCTTTTATTTTTTATTTTGAGACAGGGTCTTACTAAGTTACTAAATCACCCAGGCTGGGCTGTAACTTGGGATCCTCCTGCCTCAGCCTCCGGAGTGCTGGGATTACAGCTGTGTGCCACTATACCTGGATCATCACTTTTTTTTTTTTTTTGAGACAGGGTCTTGCTGTGTATTTCAGGATGGACTCGGGCCAGGGCTTTAGCTCAGTGGTTTCACCACCTGCTGCGCAAGCTCAAGGACCCAAGTTCGATCCCTGGTACCAAAAAAAAAAAAGGCTGGATTTGAACTCACTCTGTTGCCCTGGCTGGCCTCAAACTTGTGCCGATCCTCCTGCCTCAGCCTCCCAAGTGCTAGGATTACAGGGGTGTACCACCATGCCTGGCTCACCATATTTTCTTAAAGAGAAATAAAGCTTTACAGAAAGAGCTGGAAGTCTCTCTCTGGCTTCTCTCCTACATTTAGGTCAGTGTAGGTCACCCACATGTAGGTTTTGTTCTCCATGCATGTGTGCAGAACGGACTGTTTTTGGATGTTTCGACACTCGATGTGAGTGAGTCATTGTGCTGCTGTTTTGCAGCCTGGTTTTTGAACTCTGTGAGTGTCTGGGATGCACCCGTGGGGCTCCACGCTGTGCACTCACTCGTGCACCACCCACCCTGAGCACTGCAAGGCTCAGGCCACCCCTTCTCTTGTGGGCTGACCAGCCACTTTCCCTTCTTTTGCTACAAGCAGTGCTCCCTGGACGTCTGTATCCCATTTTCTTAACATCTGTTCTGACATCCAGTGGGAGAGCTTGGGGCAGCACAGCAACCCCTCAGGGCACTCTGTGGCCCCAAATACCTGGACAGACCATGGTTTGTTTTTTTTTTAGGCAGCAACTCCCAGCAATCCTCCTGCCTCAGCCTCCTCCTGAGTGCTGGAATTAGAGGTGTGCACACCTTTGTAATCCCAGCACTCAGAGGAGGCTGAGGCAGGAGGATCACAGCCAGTTCCAGGCCAGCTTGGGCTACATAGTGAGTTCAATGCCAGCCTGAACTACAGAGCAAGACCCCATCTCCAAAAACCAAAAAACAAACATAGAAAATGATTTTCTTGTGCAGGAGCTGTCCCCTGCAGAAATGGACACTGCCCCCGAAGCCTTGGAATGTCATGACTGCCCACGGGAGTGAGGCTTCTTCCACCGCCCTGCCACTCAGAGACACCCAGGAGCCCAGCTGGGGAAGGGTGCACTCCACAGTTAGCCTGTCCGGCTCCAGGTCACAAGGGCCAGGTTCTTCCCGTCTCCAGAGAGCCCTGAAATGCCTGCCTGAAGAGCTGGGATCTGGGGGGAGGAGCAGGGGGCCCCTCCTTCCTGACACCCGGGCCCTGATGTTCCAGATGTTCGGGCCTGGGCTGGTCACCTAGAGTCCTCAACCTGGTGTCCTCGAAGAGTGGCCAGGCTTTGGAACCAGCATCTCTACAGCCCTGAACTCCCAGCGATCCTCCTGCCTCAGGCTCCGGAGTGCAGGGATCACAGGTATGCCCTCCACGCCTGGCTGGGCTCCGCATAGCATGAGCTAAATATTGTGTTGTTTCCAGGGACTCCTTATCAAGGGTGGTACCTGAGAGGATTCCTGGAAATGATGAGGCCTGGTGAACGCTGTCCTGTGGGGCACCAGCCACCTGCTACCAGGCGGGGTGGTAGTGCTGCCACGGCATCCCTGTCACCCCCTGCTCCTGAGAGAAGCCCCTCAGCCCTAAGCCGAGGTGGGCACTGTGCAGGCTGCACCTTCCTCTGGCCAGTGGCTTACGCATTGCGCATGGAGGTTTTCGTTGCTGTTGTTTCCCTTTTTTTTTGGTATCGGGGTCAAACTCAGGTCCTTGTGCTTTCCAGGCGGCGGCAGAACCACTGAGCTACATCCCCGGCCTGTTGATTCCCTTTGTTTTTGTTGTCAGTAGTCACCTACAAGGCAGTCCTGTTTTATTTATTTATTTATTTTTGGTACGGGGATCGAACTCCGGTCCTTGAACTTGCGAGGCAGGCAACGGAACCACTGGGCTAAATCCCTGGCCCTAGTCCTTTTTTATTTTTGAGACAGCATCTCTAGGTTGCCCAGGCTGGGCAGGAACTTGTGATCCTCCTGCCTCAGCCTCCCGAGTGCTGGGATTACAGATGGGGTTCACCACACTTGGCTCATCAAGAGGGTGCATTTTAAACCCTATGTTCCCAAAGGCTGTCAGGAGGTCACTAACCGCTCGAGACCCATCATTCACTCCACAAACCCCAGCCCTGTCACAGCAGGTCCCAGGGAAGCCTTGAGCTGATTTGTGGTTCCTCCCAGGCGGCCTGGCACTTAGTAGGTGCTTACTGAGACCCACCGGGAAATCCCTGTGATAACAGAGACCTGCATCCAGGGAGGAAGCTGTTAATTCTGCTTGAGGATGAAGGAAGCCTTCATCCAGGAGGTGACAGGTCCCTGCTGGCCCTTGAAATACAGGAGTCAACAGACAGATGAGGGAAAAGAGCAGTCCAGGAGGAGGAGGTCGATAGTGGAGGGCAGGACATGGCAGGAAGCCATGCCAGAAGGACACAGGATGAGGAGAGATTGTGAACTGCAGGCGACACAGGCTGTAGTGACGCTATGCTTTGTTCATAGATTTGACACCAGTAGTGTTCACACGACAGATTCCTAGAATCAGGTGCTGTTTCCCTCTTAAGAAACATTAATTTCCTTTTGTCAGATAGTAAAGCCATGCTGATTTCCTTTCTCCCCCTGACTGCCAGGAAGCTCCTCAAATACAGGGTCCTTATACTTTTGTTTTTGTATTCCCTAACAGCCGTATGCCGGACTTTTCACCTAAGAGGCCCTGAATTAGTTCTCTGTTGCTGCTTAACAACATCCCCAGACACAAATGTAGCAGTTTAAAACACACATTTATTACCTCACGTTTCTCACAGGAGTCTGGGCCTGGTGTGGCTGGGCCCTCTCAGAGGCGGCACCAAGGTTGTCAGGGCTGAGATGTCATCTGAAGCTTGGTGGAGGAGACCCACATCTTACCTTGTGATCTTGCTGGGCAATTCAGAACTGTTGAGCCAAGGGCCGGCCGGCCTGCCTGCCTGCCTTCCTTCCTTCCTTCCCTTCCTTCCTTCCTGAACCCAGGGCCTTTGCACTGAGCTACATCCCCAGCTTTTTTAATTAAAAAAAATTTTTTTTATCATGAGACAAGTTCTCCCTAAGTTGTTAAAGTGTCCAGTCTAGGTTTGAACTTAAGATCCTCCTACCTCAGCCTTCGGAGTGCTTGCCATGGTCTGTTGGTGAAGATGCAAGTCCCAGCCCTGCCCACACTCAAGGGGAGCTACACAAAGACGTGGGGACCAGAGGGACTGCAGGGACCCCTCAGGGCAGTGGGCCACAGGCCCCCATCAGGTTATCGGGGCAGGACTGAACTAGTCCCTCTCAGTGAAAAGGGCCCCTGTGCCCGGATGTAGGGGAGGTGGGGGCTCTGGCTGCCCACAAGGACAAGCAACAGACACGATGGAAGAAGGCGGGAAACTACACACGCCTGGGCCTTCTGGAGCAAGGTGATGATTGATTGTCATAAATGTCTGGCTTGAGGGCTGTAATTAAAAACGACCCATAAAACAATTTTATCAGCTACAGAGTGGGCCCTGGGCCAGAGGGCACCGTTACAGATGGGGCTGCTCCCCAGGACAGCCACCCCAGCTTCAGTCCCCTTCCTCCTGGTCTCCCCCGACTGTGGTCACTGATGGACCCGTTCTGTGATGGCGCAGGCTCAGAGCAGGTTCCGGAGCCAAGCTGCCTGGGTGGTGTCCAGTTGAACCTCTGCCTTAACTTCTCCTGCCTCAGTTTCCTGACCTGTAAAGTGGAGATAAAAATAGCGCCTCCCACCCACAGTGGTTATTTGGATTAAATTAATACAAGTAAAAAGCCTGGCAAGTAGCAACAACTGTTTCCTTTTTGTTTTGTTTGAGACAGAGTGTCGCCATGTATTGCGCACCCTGGGCAAACTGACACAGGGGAAGTAGTGTAACTCCTGACCTGCTAGATGTCAGATACAGCGAGTTTGTGTTTATGAATTCTAGGGAACAGTGGAGGTTAAGCGTAGGAAAACTTTATTGAGAGAGCTACTGAGGGACAGGAGGGGACCCGAAATGGGTTGCAGTGGACCACACTTCTCAGAGGAAGTTTGATAGAGCAAAATCAGGAGGTGAATACGATTTAGATCAAAATTATGATCAACCGATAGGATTACAACCGCTTAGGTGATATTGATCCAATGGGGAAGCAGGTTACATTGCAAGGGTGCATGGAAAGAACCAGGACGTTTATAGGAAGGGATGGATCGGGAGGTTCTGGTCACCCACCTGGGTGACTGATGTCTATCTAGACTTTATGGGACCAGGTGTTACCAATTACAGTATAATCTTCAGTTTATTGCCTATCCCCCGGGGAACACGCAGGCTTGGCCATTCCGTTTTTATCTTGAGGCCTGGCCTTCGACAGATGTGCCCCCAGCCGCAGCGGGTCTGTGTTCGCGGCTTCCGCACTGACTCCCTCAGACCTATCCTGTCTGCCCGTCTGATATTTTTACCCAACTCAGCTGTCTGTACTAAAACGCCTGCGAGGACCTCCTCTTGGCCACGCAGAGCGGCTCACAGGTAGGGTGACCGGCCAGGCCGGGGTGCCGGGGTCGGGGACACAGGGCGGGGCCCCGCAGGCAGGCAGGGATGGGCCCTGGAAAAAGCCCGGCCCGGAGAGGCGGCGCCGGCCCAGGGCGGCGGAACAAAGGCGGCGGCTCCGGATGCGAGCATGGAAAAACTCGGCGGGGGCAGAGCCGCGCTCCCCGCCAGGGGCGTCGCAGTCCCGCCCCGGCCGCGCCCGGGCCAGCCCCACCCGACCGCCTCGCCCACGCTCCCCGCCGCCATCGTTAGTAGGGTGGGGGGCACCCGCCAGGGGGCGCGCACGAACCCCGTCCCGGCTCGCGACCGCGACACCCGCGGCGTTGCACGCGAGGTCCCCGCCCACATTGCGCCGGGCCATGCGAGTGCCCCCGCTCCCAGGGCGCAGGGGCCCAGAGCAGAAAGAGCGATGGTCAGGGCGGCGGGACAGACCCCGAGGAGCGGCGTGGGGGTTTAAGCCCCTCCCCACCTCAGGTGCGGACCCGGCGCCCGGGGCCCGGCCGGCCCCTTCCCGCCCCTTCCCGCCCAGGCCTGGAGTTTCCCGCCAGTGCCGTTCGCGTGGTCTGGTTTTGTAAACCTAGCTGAACAGGTTTTCCTGTCCCATGGATAAAGGATAGTGTTGTCCAAGGGGCACCAATCCTGACTTAAAAAAAAAAAAAAATCCAGTGCAGGGGATCGAACCTAGGGCCTTTGGATTGAGCTATACCCCCAACCTTTTTTTTTTTATTTTGAGACACAGTCTTACTAAGTTGCTAAATTGCGCGGGCTGGGCTTGAATTTGAGATCCTCCTGTTTCAGCCTGCCAAAGTGCTGGGATTACTAGGGGCCCACGGCCAGGCAGTTCTGACTTTAATGGAGGAGAAACGGCACAGAGGCTACAAAAGAAGTTAGTGGGAGCTGGCTGGGCCTCTTCCTGGTCCCGTTGTTTATTTGTTCTGTGCCTGCCCGGTGTTGGGGAACCCTTAGAGGGGAGGGGTGGGGGTAGAGTAGGCTGTGGCAGCCGCTGGGATGTGTGTGTGTGTGTCGGGGGGGTGTCAGGTCTTCAAAATGGTTCAAGCTTAAGAAGGGGCCTCTGTCCTGAAGCCGGGAGTTTAGCAGGGAAGGCGGTTCTGGTCAATACAGGATCAACTAGGCAGGGGAAGCAGCGACCCCCGGTCAATAACCTGGTATCTACTTGTGGTCCCTTTAGGAATGGGCCTTGGATTCAGATGACCCAGTGCTGGGAGTCCCAAACCTGATCTTATCCATCATCCTTGAGCTTCAGATTTCTCATCTGTAAAATGAGAGCAAGAGCCCCTCCACCCGGCTCCTTGGGGTACTGAAGTAGGTACAAGTCCCCCACCCATTCTGCCTTTCGTCCCAGTGGGGTAGGGACCAACTCCCACCTCCACACACCATCTCCCCCTTCTCTGCCGATTCTGAAAGTCCCAAGTGGGCGGGCTGTAGTGGTGCACACCTGTAATCTCAGCACACGGGAGGCTGAGGCAGGAGGATCGCCCTGAGTTCAAAACCAGCCTGGGCTACCTAGTGAGTTCAAGACCAGCCTGAACTACATAGCGAGATCCTGTTTCAAAAAACCGAAAAGTTTCCACCGCCTGCCCTGCAAGCGCAAGGACCTGAGTTCGATCCCCGGTACCAAAACAAACAAACAAAAAACCCCGAAAAGTCCCGGCAGTTACTCCCAGGACTCCTAAATCCTGGTTTCTTTTGAGCAAACGGAGGTGACGGGGTGGGGGGGTGGGGTGGGGGTTGACGGCAGGAAGCCTGGGGGAGTAGCGCCCCCTGGCGGCCAGTTGCAGGAGGCCCTGAGGACAGGCCCGGGTTAACTGGAGAGCGCTAGTGGGGAGGCTCGGGGCCATCAGGGTCCGGCTGAGGGACTTCCCTTCCTAGCAGGGAGAAGCCTGTTCCCCCGGTAGTGCCTCTTCGCTTTCCGCTTGGCCCAGCTTCACCGGGCTCCTCTCCCTTCTGCCGCGGAGGACTCAACACAGTCGCTATGTATACAGCGCTCTTCGGTTTACACAGCCCACACCCCGCAAGGTCGAGACGGGCTGTTTCTGTTTCCGGGTGGTGCCAGTACTGGACGGGTGGATGGATGCGGAATCCTGGTTTGGAGCGTGGCTCCCGGCTGGCTTGGGTTTGGGAGCCTCCAACCAGCTTTGTAGCCAGGACAACGTCTAAAACTTTGACCAGTGGAACAGACACCGGCCAATCAGAGCCAAGCCTGAGGCAAACACCAGCCACAGCCAAATCCCAGTCCCCCTTCAGCCCGAATGGAACTCGGGAAGAGGGACCATGATAGGACCGCCTCCTAGGGTTTCTGCATAACTCAGTGCGTGTAAGGGCTTGCTGAGTGTGTCGGGCACGTAGCACTCAGTAAGTGGCACTTTTATTACCAGTCCTGCCTCTTCTGACTCACGGTGATTGTCACCTTTATGGGAGAGTCCTCAGCTGAGCCCAGTGTATGCACCCAGGGGCTTCCCACCTCCTTTTTTGTTGTTTTGTTTTGCTTTGTTTTGTTTTGAGACAGTCTTGCTGGGCATGGTGGTGCATGCCTGTTAATTCCAGCCCTCAGGAGGCTAAGGGCAGGAGGATCACTGTGAGTTCAAAGCCAGCGTAAACCAAATAGCAGGACCCTGCCTTTTTTTTTTTTTTTGTACGGGGGATCGAACTTGGGTCCTTGCACTTCCGCAGCAGGCGGCAAAACCACTGAGCTAAATCCCTGGCTGACCCTGCCTTTTTGATGTTTTGTTTTTGAGACAGCGTCTCACTATGAAATTCAGGCTGGCCTTGAATTCATTATGTAGCCCAAGTTAGCCTCAAATTTGTGGCAATCCTCCTGCCTCAGCTTTCCGAGTCCTGGGATTACAGGGATGCACCATCACGCCCAGCCCCCACCTTCCTCCTGGCTTGTCTCTGCTCCCCCCTGGTGGGTCTCAGATCTCTGGCCATCCACTCTCCTGCCTCTCTCAGCCCTGAGGGCAGCACTTCCGGTTCCTGAGCTCTGAGGCCCCCTGAGTTTCCCAGCAGCCCCCTAGCTATCTGTTTGTAGCTCGGGCCACCCACCGTCCCCTTCCAGTTGTCACTGTGGACTTATCTTCCTCACACACAGTCTAATACTTCCCGTCTCAGAAGCCTTCAGTGCTCACTCCTGGCCTACTTTAAAAAAATTTTTTGATACTGGAACTCTAAGTCAGGGCCTTCACAATGAGCTACAGCCCCAGCCCTATTTGTTTGTTTTTTGAAATTTCCAATGATGTCTTACTATGTCATTAAGTTGCCAAGAGACTGGACTGGAACTTGCAGTCCTCCTGCCTCAGCCTCCCGGAGTGCTAGGTTGTAGGTTTGTACCACCACACCTGGCTCAATCTGCATGTTTATGGTCATCACAGTTAACACTTACTGGTTTCTCAGGGTATCAGTACTGCCTCTCCTGAGTAAGTGGTTCTTCCATGCTGTCTCATTTGCCCTCGAAGCTCCCACCTCTGTCATTAGTAGTACTTTGTAGAGGATGCCACAGGGACACTGGCTGGATGAGGACTTCATTTCCCCTCCTTTCTTAACCCCCTGCCCCTCCTTCTTCTTCTAGTTTTTGGTGGTAATGATGTAGGACAGAAGAAATAAAAACTAGGTAGAAAAGAGACAAAGAAATCAAGATTTAAAAATGGAACTTTGAAGAAGAGCTGCAGCCAGGCATAGTGGAGCACACTGTAATCCCAGTACCTGAGAGGCTCAGGCAAGAGAATTGCTGCAGAGTTCAAGGCCAGCCTGGGCTACACAGTGAGACCCCATCTCAAGAATAAAGAGGGCCAGAGATGTAGCTCAGTGGCATCTCACCTGCCTGACAAGCACAGGTTCTGAGTTTGATCCCCGGTTACCCCCCCCCTCCCAAAGACCTGCAGCTTCAGGACCCAAGCCTGGTTTACTTATTTATTTTTTGGGGGGTGGGGGGGATGGATGACCCAACCCGTCAGGATTTCCCATGAGAACGGGCCCTTGCCACGCTCTCCCACCCAGGAGACAGACCAAGGTGTAGATTAGGGGCCCACCGATTCCCGCCACCCAAACCCAAGAGACCCCTGTTGCCAGCTGTACCTGCTTCACTGCTCAGTCTGCGCTCTGCTCTTCAGCGCATCCTGCATCTCCATCTCTAACAAACCTGAACACTGTTTCCGTGACGGGAGTCAGCGAACCTGCAAACGTACTGGAAAATGGTGGGTTAGGTTCCTTATTTCAGCCTTGGGGACCTCACATACCCTACCCAGTGATAGTACTGGAGACTGAACCCAGGGCTTTCACATGGAGCTATATCCCCAGCCCCCATGCCCTTTTTAAAAGTTTGTAAATTTTGAAACAGAGTCTCACTAAGTCAATAATTGCTGAGTTCAAACTTTTGATCCTCCTGCCTCAGCCTCCCAGAGTGCTGGGAACACCAGGCCTGGCTGAAAATCATTTTTGAGCAAGGGATCTTGAATTTTCCTTTTGCATTGGGCCGCACAAATTGTGTAGGTTGACTTTCTAGCCAGGGCTGGATCCCGGGCTCAGGACTTCCTCTTTTCATTCAGTCATTTTGCAGTTCTAGGTATTCTACCCACTGAGCTACATCTTCAAATTATTATTATATTATTACCACAGAGTCTCATTTAAGTTGCCCAGACTGGCCTGAATTAGGATTGATTGTTCTGCCTCAGCCTCCTGAGTAGCTGGGATTATTGGCACACTGCCATGCCCTGCTGGCACTAGTTTCCAACCTGGGCAGAGGGGCCTGCACATCCTCAGGAAGGTTGTCACTGGAGCAACAGCCTGCCCAGAGGAGAGAACAGGACACAGGTGGGGACAGGTGGGGAAAGATGGGGCTGTGGTGAGCCCCTGCCCTGCAGAGCCAGCCCCTCCTGCCCTCAGCTCCTGGTCAGCTGTCACATGGCAGCCTCTGGCATCCAGGAGACCCAGGGTTAGGGGATGGGAGGGTCCCTTCCTGGGTGGGGGATGTGGTGGCTTCCTGGAGACAGCTGGACTGAAGGCCACCCTTGGGGACAGGTGTAGTAGGAGGGCGGAGCCTGGGAGAGGCTCTAAATTTGAGACCTGTGGTGGCAGAGTCTTGGGCCACACCCTGCTGGGCCCAGGCCAGCTCTAAGGCCCCACTGGAGATGGCCCTTGCCCTGTCATCTTGTTCCTCACCTCCTTCCATTGCAGGCTTGAACCTTATCCTGCTCCTGCCTGATGTCCCCGCCTCTGTCACTGTCTCGCAGGCCACCTTTTGTGGGCATGGCTGCGTCCTGCACCGCCCTTCCCTCCTTTCTGTAGGGAGGGGCCCTCCCTGTGTCCCTGCACTGGGGCCCGAGGTCCTGGAGTCACCAGCAGCCCACGACCGAGGGCCCCACCGCAGAGTCCAGCCGGGGCTCGGTCCCCGGGAGCGCCGGGCCGCGTGCCCACTGTGTGCCAGCGAGGGTGGCGCCGGGCCTGGGCCGCCCGGAACAGCGCTGTCTTCGGGTTTCCGCAGGACAGGGTATAAACAGCACAAAGCCGGGCGGCCCCGGCGAGGGGAGCGGGGCTCGCGAGCCCGGGTAGGACCTGAAAGCGCCTCTGTGTCGCGGTCCCCGCCTGCCCCAGGCTGGGCGCGCACTGCCTCTGCCACGCCTTCCGCGGCCCCTCCGGGACTGACACAAATAGTTCCCGGCGCAGCTGCCCGGCCAGTTGCCTGGGGAACCAAACTCAATGGACTGACATCACCGGGATGTTGCATAGCAACTGGCCCAGTCTCGCTGCTCCCCGCCCCTGCGCGGAGGTCGAAGTCACCATAGAGACGTGGGCGGGGCCGGGATGCAGGGCCACGCCCATCTCGCAGCCCTGCACGCAGTACGGGCAGTTGGCTTGAGAGGGTCCCTTTGTGGCCAGGGTTTTTTTGCAGACAGAGGCCCTTGTTTGCCCTCAGCCCACCTGACTGCCCCATTTTCTGTTCCAGCCTCGTAGGCTCACCAGGTCCCAGTCGTCCCCTCCCTTCTGGTCACCCAGGACAGCTCTGCGCTTGGCCTTGGGGAGAGAGATACGGAGCCTCGCTTCCCTCCTCCACCCCTGGGCCCTGGCATTGGTGCTGTGTGACCTTCACCAGCACCGCTTGGGGACCGGAGGACAGGGCCTGGGGCTGCGGCCAGCCCAGGTGCCCGGGTGAGGGCAGTGGAAACAAGGGCTTGGTTTTAGAGTGTCTGCCTATGCCTCTCTCCCACCGCAGCGGAAGCCCAGGCTGGGAGTCAGGATCCAGAACCCATTCAAGGGGCCAGGCCACTGGGCCACCAGGTCACCAAGCCTGTCTGCAGGACTCCCTTCACACCCCTCTCTTCCCACAGGGCCTTGCTTGTCTTGCTCAGGTTCAGGGTGGTGAAGGCTGTCGGTGGGAGAGGTTTCCTCCCACCAAAGACTGCATTTTGAAAACTCTCAAAACACAGGAGCTTAGGATCAAAGCCAGATTTTTCGGTGAATCGTGTGTCCTCATTGGTTGGCATTTAAGATTCAGAGATAGAAAGGGAGATTGCTGTGATCCGATCCATGGAGCTGAGTGGGCACCGAAGTCCGGCTGCCCCAGCCCTGTCCAAAGTGCGTGGCTGAAGAACGCTGTGGGCGAACGTTCCCCACCCAGCACCTGTGAGCTGAGGCCACGGGGGCCATGTGTGGCCTTGGGGGAAACATCTGATCCCATTGGTGGTGGGAAAGCTGTTTGCCTGACAGGATTCTTGGGAGGCAGCAGAGATCTGAGCGTGGATCCATCAGCCCCGGGCTGGGGAGATGGCGGCCTGTCCTCCCTGGTCTCTGGTGTATTCAGGAGGGCCAGGCTCTGCTGGGGAGATGTATGACCTCACCCTCCATGCTCAGCACCTGAAAGTACCCTCTGGGTACTGTGAGCCCTGCCCTGGGGCCACCAGGAGCCCCAGGGGCCCGAAGCCTGCAGGAGAGGCCATAGGAGATAGAGGAGGCAGGGGATGGGGATGAGGAACCCTGACGACTTTGTACTCCCAAGTTCTTTCTTAGACCTTCCCAACACAGCCTGGCTGATCCATTTGTGTCTAAACTGCTTCACACTGGGTTCCGTCATTTCCTTTTTTGTTTCTTTGTTTTTTGAGACAGAGTCTCACAGTGTAGTCCAGGCTGGACTGGAACTCATGGAGATCCTCTTGTCTCTGCCTCCTGAGTGCTGGGATGATGGGTGTGTGCCACCACCTGCTCTTCCTCTAAAGGCAGTAAGGTCTTCCTGGGGCCCTGCCCTGGTGACCTCATTGAGTCCTAGGTACCTTTCCAAGGCTCCCATCACCAAGCATCCTTAACATACAGATTTGGGCATTAAGTTTCTGACACAGCAACTTTGAGGAGAACACATCCAAGCTGTTTTTGACAACATGCATTGTTTGATGATAATGCATTTGTCTGGGAGGCAAAAGGGAAGATCCGTCTTGGTGTTGAGGAAACTGAGGCTTGGAGACATTGGGCTCCTTCTCTAGGCCCCAGCATCCTCTCCAGCAGGGCCGGGTGGAAGGACAGCTGACTTCCAGGTGCAGGCGCAGTGGGCCCTGCCTGACTGAGGCCCCCAGCCAGGAGGAGGGCCTGTGCTCCTGAGATTCCTCGGGATGCATTTGCAGCTGGAGACAGCCAGCAGTAGTAGCTCAGGTTGCATTCTGAACCCCACTTCTCTCACAAGTGTCCCTCAACTCTCCCCGTGTGCGCCCTCAAGTCTTGGGTCAAGGCTCATCAGGTGAGGGCAGTAGCGCCTTCTCTCCAGCAGGGGGCGCGCCCCGCAGTATGTCGGTATGTAAGCATTATCATGCTGGGCATCAAACCAAGGGCGTTGTACCTGCCAGGCAAGTGCTCTCCCAGCCCACCCGTTCCGCATTTGTAGGGCACCTGGAAGCTCAAGATGTAGTAGACCTAAGAAATAAGGCTGCTACTTCTTTTCTTTTGTTTTTGTTTGTTTCTTGAGGCAGGGTCTCACTCTGAAATCCGGGCTGGCCTTGAACTCACAGCAGTCCTCCTGCCTCAGCCTCCTGAGTGCTGGGATTACAAGTGTGCACCACCACACCTGGCTAGGGCCCCTTTCATTTCAATATTTAGATGTGCTCCTAAGACTTCCTATTACATCTGCTCCCTAAGACATCCTTGGGGATTGCTCTTTCCATGATCACTTCTGGGGACACTTTTCCTTGCTAGAACCTACTCCCCCCTGAAAGCCTAAAGTTCAGACCAGTGTCACAGGGTGATTTTGACCCCTTAGCCACGTGGCCACATCTAAGCAAAAATACTGTCCTTCAAAGCAAGTGAAAGTGGTGGCGGCAAAAATTTAGGTCATTGTTAGTTATTCATTTATTTATTTATTTAGGGTACTGGGGATCTGGTCGTTGTTATTATTATTATTACTTTTTGGTACCGAGGATCGAACTCGGGTCCTTGCGCTTCTGTAGCAGGCGTTGAAACCACTGAGCTAAATCCCCGGCCCTGGTCATTATTTTTTAAACCAGTCTCAAGGAGGCCTCAAATTTCTAACTTTTTCTTTCTTTTTAAAAAATTAAAAAAAAAATTTTTTATTTTTTTTTAACCTTTTTCTTTCTTTGAGGCAGGATCTCACTATTTGGCCCAGGCTGGCCTTGAACTTGAGGTGACTCTCCTGCCTCAGCCTCCTGAGTTCTGGGACTATAGGTGTGGGTCACCATGCCCAGCTTCCTGGGCACATTTTATTTTTATTTTTTTATTTTTGGTACCCGGGATGGAACTTGGGTCCTTGAGCTTTCGAGGTAGGCAGCAAAACTACTGAGCTAAATCCCCGGCCCAAAGTAGTCCATGCCATGGGTTTCTCTTAGCTCACTAACTAGGTGCATTTTTCTTTTTTGGTACCAGGGATCGAACTCTGGACCTTGTGCTTGTGAGGCAGGCAGCAGAACCACTGAGTTAAATCCCCAGCCTCCTGGGCACATTTTAGATCTGAACCATAACACAGAGTCCTGAGTCCCTGGACTTAGCATGAGCCCTGTGCTGGGCATAAGCTATCTTGCTGGGTACCCCTGCCATCCATGTCACATCAGCCCCCATGACACCTAGGATATAAACATGAGCTGGCTCACTCCCAGGACAACGTGTGAGCCAGGGACCCAGCTGTGGCTCCATGGTGACTTCCCAGGCCCAGCGGCATGACAGCAGGGCTCTGATAGAGTCATGGCTGTCACTTTCCTGGCTCTGGGTGGAATTGTTGCAGTCAGTCCCTCCTTTCCCTTTGCTTTGTCACTTTTCTCTGCCAGCCTCCAGATCCCTGGGTCTGGACCACCTCTCTGTCACCTTCTGTCACTGTCCCACAGGCCCCCAGTGCCACCCAGCTGCCATTGCCCACTCCCCCACCCCCTTGGCCTCATTCCTCCCATGGCCATCACCATTGTCCTTGGTCTGTACCTCCTGGGTATGGTGCTGTCTGTTTACAGGTGAGGAAACTGAGGCACGAGGACGGGAAGGAAGCATAGGGTGAAAGGTTCTGGCTGCCAGCCAGTGAGAACGCCAGTTCTGGGCTGACCCACCCAGCCCAGGGGGCAGGGACTTCAATACTGTGGCCCCTGTGATTGCTGCAGAGCCAGGAGTGTGTCCCCCAGGACTCCCATCAGAGCCAGGGGAACAAGGGCCCCCTTTTGTAGAAGAAGGATTTGCCAGTTGCACACTCAGGAGGCTGAGGCAGGAGGATCCCCATAAGTTTGGGGCCAGCCTGGGCTACATAGTGAGTTTGAGGTCAGTGGTCAGCCTGAACTACAGAGCAAGACTCTGCCTTGAAAAACAAAACAAAAACAAATAAAACTGGAAAACAGACAGTCTCAGGAGAGCAGCTATACTGGGTTGCCAGGTTTTTGTTATTTTTGTAGAACTGAGGATTGAACCAGGCCCTTCATTCCCAGCCTTTATTTATTTATTTATTTATTTATTTATTTATTTATTTATTTTGAGCCTCACTAAATCATTCAGTTGCCCAGGCTGGGGCTCAACTTGTTATCCTCCTGCCTCAGCTTCCCAAGTGCTGGGCTTATACATGCATGCATTTTGAAATGTTTTATTTTACATATTTGCAGTACCTGACTGTCCCGTTCCTCCTGGGGAGTGGGTCCATAACGCAGCTTAGATTTACTCCCCTTGCCTCCATCTCCCACTCCCCTTCCTGTTTGCAAGGGCTCAGTCTCCCTGTGGGCCCCTCTTTCCTCTGTGGCCATCGAATGGGAACCCCAGGAGCCCTTGGGGAACCCCTGTTTCTGGAAGCCCTGAGCCCGCCCTCTCGTCTTCGTGGATGCTAGGGATGGACCCCAGGGTGCTGCCTGCCAGGTGAGTGCCCACGATGAGCCCCAGTCTCCCCAGCCCGCCCGGGAGGCTGGTGCCTAGAAAATCAACGTGGCTGGTGGTTTATTGCTTGGCAGGGTGAGCGAGGCCACAGGGCAGGGTTGGATGAGAGGCGACTGTCCCCGGGGGCACTGCGCGGCTCTATCCACCGCTGGGCCCAGCTGGGGCCTCGCGCGGGCTGAGGTGGCCGGAGAGGCAGTGCAGGGCAGCGCGGATGCCTTCCCCGGTCCTCTGCTCCATGGTGGCCAGCGCTTGGGCGACAGAGCGCAGGGCCGAGCCAGTGCCTGCCACCAGCCCCGAGGAGAAGGTGGAGCCGGCGTTGCGCAGGATGCTGGAGACAGAGCGCAGGCCGGGGCCGGGGCAGCTCAGCAGGTCGCTGGGGGAGCTGTGGCCGGTGGCCAGCAGGCCCAGGGCCATCCCCACACCCAGGGTGGCCTCGGGCCACGCCAGGATGTCGGCCAGCGGCCCGATGGCGCCCTCGCCTCCGCCCAGCAGGCTGGTCATGGATTGCATGTAGTCGTTCTGCTCCGCGGCTGCGTACAGGCCGGGGTCCAGGGGCCTCGGCGCCATGGCGCCCAGACGCCGGCCTGGGGAGAGGGGCGCGCTGCCGGCTCCTGAGGCGGGGCTTGCGGCCTTCGGGGCCTCGGCTCTGTCCTCTGCAGCTCCGGGGTTGGCGGCGCCCGCAGGCTGGGTCTCCACACGGGGGCCCACGGCACTGGCTCCGGCTGCGCTTCGGCGACGCTCGCCTCTTGTGGCCCCTGCTGGCCCTGGGCACCACCAGGGGAAGCTGCGTGGCTCGCCGTGACCCTCGCATCCTCGGCCCACCTGTCCCTCCCGGGGTCCCGGGGCAGCAGCGCTGTCTCTCTGGGCTCAGCAGCTTCGTTCAAGTTCTCCTCCCCAGAGGGTGGCTTGGGCTTGAGCTCTACGCCCTGGTCCTCGGCCGACGCTGCGGTGCCGTGGGCTGTGGCAGCATTGGCAGGGAGGGGACCCTGACTCTGGGACCCTCCTGCCGGGCTGTCCCCAGGCCTGTCACTAGCCGCAGGAGGGCCATGCGGGGGACTGCCAGTGGCCCCGGCCTCTCCCAAGGGCCCTGTGGTCATCTATGCCCTTTGCCACTTCTGCTGAACAGGTGGCTGTGGCTCTGCCGGGCACAATTGTCCCAGGGCTGAGGTCACAGGGACTGCAGGCAGCAGGTGATGTCACAGGCACATGAAGAGTGGGGGTCCTGCACTGCTGCCCTAGGGGCTGAGTCTGTGGGACGACTTGGAGCCCAGCATGCTGGAATATAGGGAAGGAAAGACCAATCTGTCAGTAAAGGATAGAGGTGTATATGCCGGCGCATGTGCAGCCTCGGGGCCTCCAGGAGTCGTGATGGCTGTGACTTTGATGCATGGGTTAGAATCAGTGTTTATCAGGGACCCCTCCGGGCAGCTCTCTGTCCACACTGGTGCCGAAGGATCTGACTTGGCCAGTCTTTCCTGCAGCAGTGAGTGGGAATAAACAGGCCCCACAGCTCCAAGCCCTAACCGTCTCCCTGCCGTGGGGTTGACCTCTGACATCTCCCTGCTCAGCTGGGCTTGGTGGGCAGCGAGCTGCACCCTTGAGTGTGCCTGAAGACGCCCAGCCCCAGATAAACCAGCTAGTGCTCATCACCCTAGAAAAAGGGGCAGCCAGGGGAGAGAGGGGAGGAGCTGGGAGGGAGCTCCGCCCCAGGCCCCGCCCACCACCACCGCCTCCCAACCGCAACTCGACCTCGAACTCAGCAGGGATGAATCCATCAGCGGGACAGCGCCCCAAGATCCACCTTCCTCGCACAGGAGAACTTTGGGGACACCCCAGGTGGAAACCATAACAGTGTGCCGGGTGGGGGAGGCCCTGGGTGCTTGTCCTACCTGCCCTCCTTTTGTACCCACAGAACCCAGTTTATTCCAGGCAGCTATTTTATTGCTCAGCTAAAAGAGCACTTTGCCCAGGCTGTTGCAGGTAGGTAACAACACAAGAACATGTTCTGGCCAATGAAAAGCAAGCAGGAAGAATTGTGTGGAACTTTGAACTCTTTTGGTTCTCTCCTTAACTCACTCTGCTACTAGAAATGTGAAGGCCTGGTGTGGTGGCAGACACCTGTAACCCAGCACTGAGGAGGCTGGAGGATCACTGAGGAGGAGGATCACTGAGAGTTTGAGGCCAGTTTGGGCAACATAGTGAATTCAAGGCCAACAGGGACTGCATAGTGAGACCCTGTCTCAAAAACAAAAACACAAGGGCTGGGGATTTAGCTCAATGGTTCCGCCACCTGCCATGAAAGCACAAGGACCCAAGTTCCATCCCTGGTACCAAACAACAACAACAACAACAACAACAACAAAACCACACAAAGCAAAACAGAAATGTCAAGGCTGGAACACCAGCAGCCGTGTAGGACCATGAGGTAAACTTGTGGGTAGAAGGTGCCCATTAAGGTGGTGGGAGCCTGGCGAGGTGATGCACACTTGTAATACCAGTAGTCTAGGAGGCTGAGCCAGGAGGATGGCAAGTTTGAGCCCAGCCTGAGCAACTTAGTGACATAATGAGACCCTGTCTAAGAGAAACAAATATAAAAGGGGCTGGTGATGTAGCTCAGAGCAAAGGGCCTGGGTTAAGTCCCCAGTGCTGCAGAAAAAAGGGCAACAAAAAGGTGGATCACAAATAGAGAAGGAACCTGGGTCTCGTGGCCAGGGCTCTCATCCCAGTCACCAGAGCAGACCATTGCCAACTTTCAGATTTTTTTTTGTTTTTGTTTTTTGAGACAGGGACTCATTAGCCCAGACTGGCCTTGAACTCCGGGCAGTCCTCCTGCTTCAGCCTTCCAAGTGCTGGGATTACAGGCGTGCACCACCATGCCCGGCTCTTCAGAATTTCTTTCTTTTTTCTTTTCCTTTTTTTGGTACCAGGGATCGAACTTGGGTCCTTCTGCTTGCAAGGCAGGCGGCGGAACCACTGAGCTAAATCCCTGGCCCTTCTTCAGAATTTCTTTACATTAGCCAGGTGTGGTAATCCCAGTACTATTGAGACCCTGTCTCAAAAACAAAACAAAACTGAAAACAAAAAACCCCTTTAAAAAAATTTTTGAAACAGGCTCTTGCTAAATTCCCCAAACTAGGTTCAGCTTCCGATCTTCCCGCTTCAGCCTCCCAGAGCACCACCATGCCCGGCTGAGATCTCTGGCTTTGAGGCGCGGGGCGTGTTCATTCGATGCAGCCGCCGTGGGGAGCCACCCGGGTTCATATTTAATCCCCTCCCGCCCTCGGTGGCCGCACTGCGCCGAACCCCACTCTACAAACAAGGGAGCTGAGGCTCCGAGACCAGCAAGGCGCGGGGCGGGTCTGCGCGCTGCCCAGGGCCCCCTCCGCGCTCCGTGTGCCCGCGTGAGGCCGCACCGACCCCTGCACAGCCGCCTTCCTCCCGGGCTTCGCCTCGGTGGGCACCAGTGCCAGATCCCTGCCCCGCGCCACCGCCTCGGCGGGTCCCGGGAACGCGGCCTGGGTGTGACCCCGCTCTGCTGTCCCTGCGCCCAGAGAGGACTCCAGGAGCCCTGTGCCTGGGAGGACAGGGTCAGCTCAGGGAGGACTCGGGTCGCCAAGGTGAAGCCCGGGCTGGAGTGTGCGCTGGGGCAGCGGGGCAGCCCGGGGGGCAGGATAGCGAGAGGGACGGGGGAGGAGGAGTCCCCGAGTGACCCCAGAACGACCCGCGCCCTGTGTGCAAAGCCCTGGGGAAGCCTCGGGCTTTCACTTCCGGATGGGTCACAGAGGCGACTTCCAGGAAGGAGCAGACCGGAGCACAGGAAGCTGAAGGCTGAAGGAAGACCGCGTGCCACACAGCAAAGCCAGCAAAGAAAGCCAAACGGGGAAAATAGCAGGGCAGGGTGGCCTTCGCCTGTCATCTCAGCACTCAGGAAGCTGAGGCAGGAAGATCTCATGTTAGAGGCCAGCCTGGAGTGTATAGTTAAACACTATCCCCAAAAGAAAAAAACAACCAAACCAAAATCTAGCAAGGTGCTGGGGCTTGAGTCCAGGGGGTCAGTCACACTAGACCCGCTTCCTACCACAGAGCTGCATTCCTGTTCCCACACTATTCAGTGTGACAGGCAAGTCACTCCCTGTTGTGACCACACATCCTGTGGGCCAATGGCCAAGTGCGGAAGAACACAGGCTCTGGGACCTCAGCAAGACCGCTGGAGAGGGCCCCGGGAAGAAAGAAGTCAAGCCTGGTGGCCCTTCCCTGTAATCCCAGCACTCGGGAGGCTGAGGCAGGAGGATCGCTGCCAGTCGGAGATCAGCTTGGGGAACATAGTGACATGGTGTCTCAAAAAAACAAAGGGGGCCAGGGATTTAGCTCAGTGGTGCTGCTGCTTTCCTCGCAAGCACAAAGTCCTCAGTTTGATCCCCGGTGTAAAAAAAAACAAAAAACAAAAGGAAGGAAGGAAGAGGAAGAAAAAAAGGAAAAGAAGGAAAGAAAAAAGAAAGAGAAGAAAAGAGAAAAGAAAGAGAAAAGGCCTGGGATGTAGCTCAGTGTGAAGGCGATGGGTTCAATCCCCAGCCCCACACTTTAAAGAGAGCTTTGTTAGGTTAGCTCCTGACATTAGTCATAGATTCGCTCCGCAGAAGTTCAAACCCTGCTGTAAACGCTGGATTGTGTTGAACACGAACGCTAACCTTTCTTGAATAGCCCACTGGAGGGGGCTGGAGGACCACAGGCTTTACCAGCGGCGACTGCTCCCTGGGGAAACCGAGGCACCTTCAGAAGGCGGAGGAGGGACGAGTCCTAGCGCGGGTAGGGGTGGGGGGCACTTCGCCCTCTGCCGCCCCCCTGTGGTGGCTCCTGGTTTTTTTTTTGGTACGTAGGATTGAACTCAGGACCTTGCGCTTTCGAGGCAGGCGGCGGAACCACTGAGCTAAATCCCCGGCCTGGCTCTTGGTATTTAATTCAGTGGACAGCCAATGCCTCTCTGAGTGAGTCTGAGCCCCAAAACCAAAGCATGGGACGAACAAAGGTCTGGGCCCTGTGCCTCCTGCCCACTATCACTCCAGAGCTGCCATTCACTATCGCTCTGCAAGGTGTCCAGGGGCGAGCACACGCCGATCCCTACTGACCCCTGCCTCTTCGGCAGTTTATTTTATTTATTTTAGTGTTTGTTTCTTTTGAGACAAGGTATCACTATGTAGCCCAGGCTGGCCTCAAACTCGCGACGATCCTCCTGCCTCAGCCTCCCGAGTGCTGGGACTACAGCTGTGTGTACCTCGCCCGCCTCTCTAGATGAACATTTTTTAAAAATGAAGACAATCTAGCAGTGTCACTGATACCACCGTGCAAGGGCAGCAACCCCTCCCCCCACCCCAGGGGCCGTCATGGCCAGGCCACATCCTTCTGTGATTCTGCCCTGTCCCCCGTGTGGCTCATGGTGGCAGCACCCCAGCTTCCAGCCTTAGGCCTGCCATCCTCTGGCTCAGCGACACCCCTCCACAGGGTTCCGAGTCTCCAGGGAGCCCGGGGCCCCTGGACAGCTGGCCCCAATGCCACATGCTACCATATGTGCTGAGGGACATGGAGCTGGCCAGGGCATGGCAGGAGCGTGGGACGGATGCTGACCTGAATTCAGATGGGCGAAGGAGCCTGAGGGTCCTCATCTGTTCATTTGCTTATTCTCTCATTCACTCCCTCCCTCCTAGGTATCACGGCTCTTCCTGCAGCCCTGTTAGGAGGAGATGGGACCAAAAATGGCCTGCTGTCTCAGAACTCCCAGATCCGAGGAGAAAAAAGGGACACTGGACAGGGGATTTAGCTCAGTGGTGCTGTGCCTGCCTCAAAAGTGCAAGGTCCTGAGTTTGATCC